ATGAATTCCTTCCACAAATACTACCAAATCCCATAAACCAATCTGTAAGAATCGAGCACCATGATGTGCTTTCAATCATATCGTCCAAAAATGTCAAACTTTTTTCCCGTGTTCATTCAAATGTGACTTTTCCGCTTTCAATTAAACCCTTTGTGTGTACATGTCTGTATGTTACATATACAAGCAACAAGTTTATCTCAAAGAGCTACTCGAGTTTGAGCTCGAGCTTAATAGTTCTTTGAGCTCGAGTCAATCTCGAGTACAAAATAAACTCGTTTAACTTAACAAGCTGAGCTTCATAACACCAATGTTTGACTTGACTTTTCGAAAACTCGATTAAAATTTCCAAGTAGAGTCGAGCCAAGCCGACCCATTCGAGCATGCTCATATGTTCATAAAACATGCAATAACAATATAAAAAATATCAACCTCGAGTCCGTAAACGAGTTAATCGATCGCGAGTTCGAACCCATATATGAGCATCTAGCTCGAGCTCTACATTGAAAACATTATTCGAACTCGAGCCTGCTATTATTTAAACCAAGCTCAAATAACCTACTATTCGGTTCCACTCATTTACACCCCTATATATGTGTGTACTTAAATGTATGTATGTTTGTATGAAAATTACAAAGGTTAACTGAAAATTATAAAGAAAAGGTAATTTATCACAATATGAAACTAAATCATATTGAAATTACTAAAATATAAGATGCTTTAAAACAAACAACAAAGATTAATAATATTATATTATAAAATATTTAGGTATTACATTTTAAAAACTTTTAATTTTTAAAAAATACAGACATTATATATAAATCCATAATGCTTATAAAATCTTTTAAAAGTAAGCTTTGTTTGGATTGCTTATAAAAACAACTTATTGACTTATTCCAATGTGGTATTGATAATAAACACTTTTGAGTGTTTGTATAAACAACTTATATCTGTGTCAAACCGGTAATAATAAGTTTTTGAAAAAGTTAAATCTTACTAACTTATAATAAGTTGATAAGCATTTTTATAAAAAAGAATAAGTTGTTTCAAATAAACAGTCCCAAACACCCGATACGAAATTTTGAAAAACTCAAATTATTGTTCCATCAAGGTTTGGAAAAACACTAAATTAGTTTTAAATATGATTAATTTCTTAGTAAATGAGAAATGGATATTTTATTCTTTTATTTWTGATGATTGTTGTATTTTCTTTTCAATTTGATTTTCAAAATTACATTTTTTATTAAYTTGGATRTTCAACTCGCTATATGAGTCGATTAATTTCAGAACAACCACCTGCTTTGCGGGTAGCYCGAAGTCAYYGCATTTGAATCTCCATGGCTAYAAGGGGATTTTTATTCCTCTTTGGATTTGAACTTGCGACCTCCAGACACTTTTRACTTTTGGAATTCAAGCTCAAACCAATYAGACACCACCCTTGTGGTTTAGTATATTTATATTTGAGTATATTCAAACAATATTTTTACTATATATACAACATATTATTACATGCTTACAAGTTATTAATGTGTTTA